CAACCCTGCTCCCCACACGCCAACCCTGCTCCCCACACGCCAACCCTGCTCCCCACACGCCAACCCTGCTCCCCACACGCCAACCCTGCTCCCCACACGCCAACCCTGCTCCCCACACGCCAACCCTGCTCCCCACACGCCAACCCTGCTCCCCACACGCCAACCCTGCTCCCCACACGCCAACCCTGCTCCCCACACGCCAACCCTGCTCCCCACACGCCAACCCTGCTCCCCACACGCCAACCCTGCTCCCCACACGCCAACCCTGCTCCCCACACGCCAACCCTGCTCCCCACACGCCAACCCTGCTCCCCACACGCCAACCCTGCTCCCCACACGCCAACCTTGCTCCCCACACGCCAACCCTGCTACCCACACGCCAATCCTGCTCCCCACAGGGGAGTATCGTCTTACTTCTCGGTGAGTACCGTCTTACTTCTCCTTACAACCTCACTAGTCAATCAAATACTACTGCAAGGTCATGAGAAGAAAGGAAATGATCAGTATATAAAGGAACTCTGGATTGTTCAACAAATCCCCCTTGTTAGTACCATGGAATCTGTACTAAGTGTAAGTTCCAAGTGCGACATTTTTTCTTGTTGGTTTTTTTTTTCTTCTCTTTTTCTCTTTGCGTGTTTGGAGTCCATTTATTTAAATCTTTTCACTCTGCAATTATACTTATTGTTTCATTAGCACTTTTCTTGTCATTTCGTTGCCGCCTTGTGTCGCTGTGTGCTGCCTGCATAATTTATCATGTAATGTAACCGTTTCCTTTTTTTTTTTTTTTCGCTAAGAGCAGTTGAGTAATGTTTCTGTGGCCGTGACAATGTAAGTATTTTATAGTATTGTTGTTCGTTATTTCTTTAGGTTGTATATTATGAAACTAGTGTAACCGTTTGTTATTTTCCTTAGTTTTAACCAACGTCAGTCATAGAGTATTAAAGATCATGTTTGTATAAAGACGCGGAGCTAATTCAAGCCAAATTCTAAGTGAATAATGTAACAACAGTTCCTCCTTTTAAATTCAATTTTTTAAGGTTCATTATGGGAAACAAGCCATCAGTACATCTAAATTCTGTTGAAATTCCTTTTAACTGGATGGCACAATTAAGTTGGCTGGAATCAGTACTTGTTTCCTATAATGTGATTGGTTAGTTTTATTCAGGGGCTCTGTAATGATTGGATACTTTTGTTAAGGGGCTCTGTAGTATTAAAAGAGTCAATTTTAAGTAGGTAAGAAAATTGCAAATAACAACAGTAATGCTTAAGGCAGACAAAACAAACCAACCAAACAATAAAACAAAATACCCTACCTGCCCTTTAAATCTGGGGAAGTTCAATCCAGCATAAAAAGGAATATAACAACTCGCCAAAAGAACCTTGTAATGAGAAGACAAGGTAAAATCATTATTTCCTTATAAACCAATCAGTTTAAAGTAGCTTGTTGATAAAAGATGTGATATTAGTAAGTGCTATGTGCATGCAACAGGGTGCTCGTACAATACAAGGAATCTCAATTCTCAACCCTTTACAGCCGAAAATCAGTATGCATATTCTCCATACTGTTCTCTACACATTTCCTAAGGTGTTGACAAGGAGAATTTGTTTAATAATCAAGAGCTTCTTCGGTTGCAGATCATTTCCTTGATTCTCCTGACCTCAATGTGTGATTCAGGGGTGATATTGTAAGGAGAAATGAAGTACACCCTACTCATCACTTTTAGGGGTTGAAGGATAAACCCACTAAATGCTGATATCAACATTTATTATATGGCTGTGTCTCACACGGACTGGGAACTACTGAATTCATGAATTTGATTGGCTGAAATCAATACTGAAACTGGTCTAGATTTTCCCATATAGACCGGCATCTAGACCGGTGTAGATAAAAAAGGTACAAAGAATATAAAAAATTGGCAGATAAGACAGCCATATAATAAACATCTTATCAATCGAGCTAGGTCGGTCTGTATGGGAGAATCTTGACCTCGGTTGCTGGTACAGACCTCACTGCATTCGGTCTGTACTAACAACCTCGGTCAAGATTCTCCCATACAGACCTCCCACTTGGTTAATAAAAACTAAGTACATGTATATTCTTGTCAATCTTCTCCATCAGGACTCAACACTAATGGTAGCCAACTAGCCACAGACTAGTAGAAATTCAGTTTTGGCTTGTGGTTTTTTATTTCCACAAGCCAGTATGGCTAGTAAACAAACTGAAATTGTCATGACATCTAAGTTGTCACTAGCCACTGGGATAGTAAGTTGAAAAGTTAGTGTCGAACCCTGTCCATGTTTCTTATTTTACCAATTAAGAGAATTTGTTCAAACATCAAGACATTTAATATTCGGTGATTAGTTCAATCATTTTCATGATCTATACATTTGATTTGGCAGTGATTTTGCTGGGAGAAATTAGATGATGGTCACTATTGGAGCTTTAAGGGTTAAGCAGTAAGTAAGTAAGTAAAACTTTATTTACACAGGGTAACCCATTCAGCTCAAGGCTGGTATCCATAGGCAGGGCTCGGAAAAACCCCCGTCTGGTCGTCCGGGACAAGTAGATTTTCCTTTTGGCCAAGTAACTTTCTCTCCTTCCTTGCCCGACAGGCAAGGACCCAGCGGGCAACCCATTGACTGACTAACTTTTTGATAACAATTTTGAGAAGAAATGGTAAGCTTTAGGCCCAAGGGTAATCAAGTGTTCAGATGAAGCTTGACGAAAATTACAATTTATAGTGTTGTTTTATTGATTGCACAACGCGTGCTCACAGCTCAGAAGTGGTTGCCTAGCACATGATCAAAATCTTCCCCGATCAAATTTCTTTCCAGGATAAAAATAGCTGTGTTGGGAACGAAAACGCTGTGTTTATTTCTTAATTGTAGCCATTTCCTGCGAGAATGTTTTGGTTTCTCTGTACAAAACTTAACTAAACAGCGATATATTAAAACTGTAGAAATTGTACGTGAAAACTGAGAAGTCGCATATTTCTACCCTGAAAACGAAGCTAGCCCTTTGATGCTAAAATCCAGGTAAAATCCAGGTAAATCACTGTTCATGAATTATTAATTAGTTTGAAAACTTGGGAAAGCAGGGAAGTGCCCTGGACAAGCAAAACTTAAGGGTTACTTGCCCAATGGGTAAGGTGTAATTCAAATATTTTTCGAGCCCTGCATAGGGGCCCTGTTTCTTAAAAATAAATTACATCAAAATTCTCAATTATTTATATGTATGACTAGGATTTTAACAGCCTAAGACTACAAAGCCAAAACACAATTAAGAACTAAAATAGCAGATAAAATATCAAGTTAAGATAAAAAGAAATGTCTTGCTCGGCAGCAAAACGTTTGAATGTTTTCACTCTTCACAATGTTTGAAGAAAGTTTATCAAATATTTCTGCGCCAGCAAAAAGAAAGGTCCTTTTCCAAAAATTTTGTTTTACTTTTGGTAGCAGTATCTGAATTTCTGACTACATCTACACCCAGTATCCTCCTTTACAGTACATGTACATGTAATTCATACCAGGTCTTAGCCATTCATCTAAATTAAGAATTACCTGGATTAAGTCTTCTTTAGATTCAAACTCAGATAAAATAGCATTCTTCCTGTCCTTTAAACTGGTCACAGAAATAAAAAGTCTTCCTGAAGCAATTCGGTGGGAATTTGAAGGAAGATAAAGTTCAAGTCCTTTTCTTAAGCTCCCAACCAGGTCAAACTGGGGATTAAAAGGTCCCAGTGGGTGTCTGCGAGCTTCATTAGTAAGTTCTATAACATAATCTGAGCACTTGTCCAGTGGGGCTGATGTTGCTAGCACTGCAGCAACAAGTGACCCAGCTGAAGCACCTGCAAAGGCTGTTACATTCTTTATAAACTGTGGAGCATGCGATGTTAGGCAAGTTGCAACTCCGAGGTGGTAAACTCCAAGAAAACCACAGCCTGCAAATGACAGGTTCATGGGATCTGCAATTAAAGTTAACTGATCTATTCAATTTAAAACAATAATGGTCTGACAACAAACATATGAAATACATATATATGAACTGCGGTTATGAAACGTATATGTGCACGATCCTTCGCAGTAAAGCACTATTTAAGCAATAGTGAAAATCAGACCTGAAAAAAATTCAGGCCTGTACGGGATTCGAACCACTGACCTCTGCGATACTAGTGCAGCGCTCTACCAATTGAGCTAACAAGCCAACTGGGAGCAGGCCATCAAATTAATTCGACATAAACCCGTAGATGATAAATCAAACAACAAACATATGAAATACATATATATGAACTGCGGTTATGAAACGTATATGTGCACGATCCTTCGCAGTAAAGCACTATTTAAGCAATAGTGAAAATCAGACCTGAAAAAAATTCAGGCCTGTACGGGATTCGAACCACTGACCTCTGCGATACTAGTGCAGCGCTCTACCAATTGAGCTAACAAGCCAACTGGGAGCAGGCCATCAAATTAATTCGACATAAACCCGTAGATGATAAATCAAACAACAAACATATGAAATACATATATATGAACTGCGGTTATGAAACGTATATGTGCACGATCCTTCGCAGTAAAGCACTATTTAAGCAATAGTGAAAATCAGACCTGAAAAAAATTCAGGCCTGTACGGGATTCGAACCACTGACCTCTGCGATACTAGTGCAGCGCTCTACCAATTGAGCTAACAAGCCAACTGGGAGCAGGCCATCAAATTAATTCGACATAAACCCGTAGATGATAAATCAAACAACAAACATATGAAATACATATATATGAACTGCGGTTATGAAACGTATATGTGCACGATCCTTCGCAGTAAAGCACTATTTAAGCAATAGTGAAAATCAGACCTGAAAAAAATTCAGGCCTGTACGGGATTCGAACCACTGACCTCTGCGATACTAGTGCAGCGCTCTACCAATTGAGCTAACAAGCCAACTGGGAGCAGGCCATCAAATTAATTCGACATAAACCCGTAGATGATAAATCAAACAACAAACATATGAAATACATATATATGAACTGCGGTTATGAAACGTATATGTGCACGATCCTTCGCAGTAAAGCACTATTTAAGCAATAGTGAAAATCAGACCTGAAAAAAATTCAGGCCTGTACGGGATTCGAACCACTGACCTCTGCGATACTAGTGCAGCGCTCTACCAATTGAGCTAACAAGCCAACTGGGAGCAGGCCATCAAATTAATTCGACATAAACCCGTAGATGATAAATCAAACAACAAACATATGAAATACATATATATGAACTGCGGTTATGAAACGTATATGTGCACGATCCTTCGCAGTAAAGGTGATGGCCTGCTCCCAGTTGGCTTGTTAGCTCAATTGGTAGAGCGCTGCACTAGTATCGCAGAGGTCAGTGGTTCGAATCCCGTACAGGCCTGAATTTTTTTCAGGTCTGATTTTCACTATTGCTTAAATAGTGCTTTACTGCGAAGGATCGTTCACATATACGTCTCATAACCGCAGTTCATACATATGTTTCATATGTTTGTTGTTGTTTGATTTATCATCTACGGGTTTATGTCGAATTAATTTGATGGCCTGCTCCCAGTTGGCTTGTTAGCTCAATTGGTAGAGCGCTGCACTAGTATCGCAGAGGTCAGTGGTTCGAATCCCGTACAGGCCTGAA